AATGTTGTCCCTTCCCCATCCAGTGGAGGGCAGCAGCGACACGTCTCCAACTGTAACCCAACACCTTGTTGGCCCCGCATCACAAAAGGCTCGGTGAAGGGCGGTATCTAACTGAGTAATGACGCTGGTGACTCCGAACTTGTAGGGTGAAGGCGGAGCCTGTCACCCGACATTCAACATCACCACGTCACCGGTCTAAAGACGTGATTAGAGGTGGCTTCAGCCGGGCGCGTGTGTCCCATATATAACTGTGTGTTGTACTTCGTTCCATTTCTTCAAGGAACCGTGGTTATATTCATAACCTTACGTTTGTTGTTGTTCCAGGAGCGGCTCGGTCACACGTTAATGTCATTAGTTCGTTGTCATTACTAAGCTGCAGGACTGCTTTTTCCCCCTTTTTCCACATCATGTCACCTGCCTGGATCTGTTATTATCTAACTCTGAAGCACGGAGGACTGTCATAGGTAAGCTCGTTTCAACTGCTTTTTACGACGCGGTCTCATTTCCAGACTCAGGCATTTTGTGAATGAAGCCAATATTCAGTTAAAATACATAAGTAAAAATATTTATCCAAGTATAATAGTACCCCCCCAACTTTATGGATGATTTTATGGATTTAATTTTGCATATTATACTTGAATAAATACAATTTAGAACCTGGACCCATTTCTACGTTCATGATGAAACCCAAAAACCACAGTGACACAAGTGTCATCGTGGGTCCTCATGAGTYTAAATAAAACTGTGAATTTGTTTTTCAAACAGCAAAGAAAAATCTTACCAATAGCCAAGAAGAGCTCGTTCACATTCATGGCGGTCTTGGCAGATGTTTCCATGAAGAGCAAACCAGTGTCCTCAGCATACGACTGGGCTTCCTTCACCACACAGGAAATATATTCATGAATCAAAATRCTACAAATACAGAGTGAAAGCAGTTTTCCTTTTGCTGTAGATGGAAAACATTTGGGTTTGACCTTAGAAGATTTATACGTGAGAGAGCAACTTTTATTCCCATGTGTTTACGTCTGGACACAACTTAGAAAATAACATTAATTCAACACCAAATCTTTTGGTGAAAGAAAGTATTGGARCATAAAACTGAAAGATGTTTTTGTTGCCCAGGTTTGTCCTTTTACCGAATTTATGAACATCTTTCGGTTTCAGATTTAGTCTGTGCAGACTGTATTTATAGTTTAAAAGCAATGTAAATAACATGAAAAYCAGAGGTCTGTTTATGGGAGAAAAACGAGCAATTGTMAAACTGAGAGAAGAAGAAAAATCAGTCAGAGCCATAAACAAACAWTGGCCTTTACCAGTCCAACTATCTGGTATGTCCTAAAGAAGAAACAAACCACTGGTGGACTCAGTGAGATGTCAAAAGGAAGTCAGAGGAAACCATTAAAGGGATCCCCAATTAGTTGTAACATTAGACTTTATTTAATAAACATATATTTTAACTGTAAAATAAAGACCGCAAAAGTACTGCAGGCTGTTTAGTTTTTATAATTTTTAAACTAAAGATTTAAAAATATACTATATGGATGGAGCCATTTTATTTACACACAAAGCATTCTGGGTAAATGTCAACGTGGATATGTCCTTGGTGCAAGGCTGCTAGTGAGCTATATCCACCCTGAAGGTTAATCTTGGACAATATCTGACGATCAA